AAATTGGCTAATTTGTGACAAATACGAAAAGTGTCTTCTAAATGTACAATTATTCATAATCACTACTTGTAAGAAACCTCTGAAGAAAGCGCGAACGTAGACGTTATCTTTTGTAGCATTATGGTCCTGCTTGCGACCCGCGAACTCACGTAGCAGTCACGCACGTTTAAAGAATCGTTGGCAGCAGTTCCTGTTTTAGTTCGTGTAAAGAAGGTGATGCAGCAGAGCGCGCCACCGTAATGGTCCCCACCACGTTATATGGGAGTTATAGGGCCCTGGACTAGTATCCAGGATTTCAGTCGTTTGCGACGCTGCGGGTCAGTTCATTTGCAGTTGACAAGCAAGGCTGTTCGGTGGAGGTTCTCTCATATCGAGCGACGGAGTTTTATATCTTGTGGCGGCTATTATGGTAAGCCATTGGAAGTTATTTGAAAGAATATTGTAAATGTGTGTGTTCACTACAATTTATATATTAGATATGAATTGTACGGTTTTATAGTTACATTTGTTACAGAACAATTCTATACTTGAAATAAAATATGCATTGATTGAGCCACCCAATGCTGGAAAATATTTGCTGTCCACTAAAATAATTTGAATAAAATATAGTAATATTGAAATGGCCAAGTTTTTGAGAAAATGCATGGTCACTTAAGTGCATGGCACGTGGGCACGTACTGTTCATATTGCAATATTTAGGGCAGTTCAATGTTCAATATAGCAAGCAGATTATTCATTGTAAAGATGCATAATCTATGAAATACGTGGCTGATGTGAAAGAGCTCGGGCTCTGAAGATGTGGGATGCGATGCAGATGGTGTAGGCGGAACAGAGGCTAGTGGGTCATCCAAGTTTGGAGTAAGATTTGCTTAATCTACTGATTGGTTGCAGGTTTTCTTATTGAATTTATAGAAACCGCGTTGAATAGGTATTTTTCAGTGCACTTTGATCATGGTTTAATATGTAGTAGAATAAGTTTAATTTTTTTGATATGAAGGTAACCAGATTAATTGCATGGTAATAATCTTATCGAAGATTATTACTGTCATTGAATATAGAAAATGAGGATACTTGATCATAATTCTTATTATTGTCGCGGTTAAATCACTCGCTTGGCATTTCATTTTATTTTCTGAAATACAGAAGCACAAAGATTTATTATATATACGTACATTTCACTTGGGCGTGCATTAATTTGAGGGTTCAGTTTTTACGGACACTTTATTGTAAGTCAGCGAAAAGTTTGATGTATGCAACATTTTAATACGTTCGCAATTCATATTAGTTTGAAAATGAAAAACAAGTCGCGTGAATGGTAGTTGAAAACCTGCAATGGAAGATAGTGTGGGATTTGAGAACCTTGGGTGGGAGCAATAGAAGATAACCTTCGGAGGAAAAGTCTTCTATTTAACGGGAAATTATTTAGAACGTTTACCCCCTTCAAGGAATTGAACACGTGTTAGTTACTTTCATGAATATTGGAATTTATTCCATTCAATTTCCAAAGTAAAGGTAGCAATTGCTCTGTGTGTATTACAAAGTTGTTTGTCATAGTATGTGAATGTAACTGACATGATTTAAGTAAATGGTATTTACTGCATCATGTACACATTTCAAAAAAAGTACTGCATGTATATTTCTTTAGAGTCGATATTGGTTTGTAATTCATAAATGATCCAAAACTAATTTCAATTTATTATAATTAGTAATATTTCTTGACAGGTCCTACCCATTCTTCCTCCCTATAGATTTTTGTCGGCGAATTGGTTTTTGAATGATGCAATCTTGATTTGTATGAACTATCTGGCCAATTTGAATGTTCAGGTACTCTGAAACCACAATGAAGTTTAGTTCAATTATTTTATAGTTTATATTTATATTTTGGGGTTATTTTTTATTATGTCAACAATATGAACATTAACATTTATTAATAGAAATGCAGGTTCCCGATTAAACGAGTGTGATGTCCTCTTTTATTTATTCTCACATTTATTGAATCTCTTTCATTGGCAGGGTAAGTTTCATTGTTTTTTCTGGGGGGGGGGCGCTGTTATACTCTCAAATCCCAGGGCTGCTTGTTTTCCTCGTGAGCTGAAAAATACCGCTTACGAAAATTCGGCTGGTGAATGCTTAATTTGAGGAATTTTTACTAATTTTGCTGGTTGTTAATTTTGAATAGTAATGTCATGTATATTAAATTAATATTTGTGAAATGAGCGCCGGCTGCTAATCTGTTCATAATTTAATTTTCACCGTTTTCTTGAGTTTCTTGAGAATGCTGAAAGGAAATTTCTTTATAGATGCAGATTTCTTACCGCCAAATGACTGTCCTGTTGAATTTCTTCAACAGGGCAGTAGTATATAAGAACAGAAAAGACTTTGAAGATAGAATGTTTGAGACCAAGAATGTGATATTTACTAAAAAGATAAATCGACCTAGAAAGATGACTAAAGATTCATTATAAGAAAGTTTTGATAGATCATTCGCAAGGAATAATCGAAGGAAATGTGTATAAAGTATTGTCAAAAGATAATTTTTTTTCAGTTTTATGCCCTCCAGTTACCCTGGAGAGGTGGGAATTTCTTTTGGGGTACATTATGTATAACTGCAGCAGATTTGGCTTGTGCAAATAGGAAAGGTTTTATTGCTTACATACTAACTAAAACTATCCTATACCTACAACTATATACATTACCACTTTGGTTTTTGTTAGTTTTTAGATTTTTTTATTTTTTAAAATTATTTAATTGGGAGTTCTATTTTCCCCCTTAAGTCACTTAATCTAAACTATGTGACTTATGGGAGAGAAGATCTTCGCAGGTTTTTTTGAGTTACATAGTCCCTTTCAACATTTTACTTACAAATAGTTGAAAGATGAAAAGTTTAAAAAATGAAACAAAATAATGTTTTAAAAAGCGCGAGATTAGTAACATTTGAAAAACTAAACATTCTAAACATTTTCTTTCGAGTTATAGAAAACTTGTTTCGGTAAACGAACTGCAAATTTGATTTTTTGCATTGCTAACAAAATAGTAACTCATCTTCAGAGAAGAAAATGAATATTTATTAAGAAATAAAGATACAAAAACTAAGAAATAAACTATGCTAACTAAAATCACCATTACACCACACCAGATAACACTAAAACTACGCCAAGAACTCCAAAACTGAAATGAATGATAGAATATAAGGAATCAATCAAAGCGGTTACTGGTGGTTCTCAGCGTTACTCTCGCTCACAGCCTCTTGAATCGCTCTTAAATATTGTGCGTTCAGCTGATTCGCGGAGTAAATCGAAGAATATATACTCTAGAGTAAAATAACCCTCTAGAAGCAAGGTGACACCACTGAACAATAAAGGATAGAAGTGCACCCACAAACGTCTGAAACGAAAGTCGTTCGCAGCACTCAAAGTGGCCTGGCAAAGAACTACATAACCCCCCCCCCGTCCCAGCGCAGCGTATGAAAGTTAATTTCACTCAATCTTCTTCGCGAAAGTTAATGGATATTAAAATAATACTTTCTACTGCGATATTTCTCAAATATAGTAATTATCAACGGAATGCACTTGACTCCTCAGTTATGACCTTACTCATCTAATTATATGGTAATGGCAGGAATGAAGGAATTAAAATGAATAAATAATTTCCTTTAATGTACAATTTATATTAAACAATATTCAATATAGACTTGAATTTGCTACTTTTTCATGGCCTTTGTATATTTTCTTTTAGTCTGAATTTTTCTGTTTTTCATCTATTACATATTTGTATATTACAAAACGTACAAACTTTTTAGAAACAAGTTCTTCAGATAAATGCACTTAACAGATAATGTATCATCAGGTGATTTGGAATTAGAGCAAAATTTTCTTCAAATTATTGAAATGGCCATTTGTTTTCTAGAAATCTATACAAATATTAATGAAAATTCTTTAAAAACATTAGATTAAATAAGATTATACTAAATCATTACATTACATAACACAAATGTTTTCATTATGGTGTTCTGTGAACACAAAAGGCTACAAATTTCATACAAATAATAGTGAAAGACACTTTAAATGTTCACCTCTATATTGTGAAACATCCATGTATTCCACTAAGACAAGGAAATCGAAATAGAGAAAACTCGAAACTGTTGCGATTGTGTCCGCTAAAACAGATCTTGAAATGCGAAACACATACATAAACGCATAGAACACTAAGGGAAAGCATGAACGTAGCAAACGGCAAAATGATTCACTCTCGCCTTGTGGAAAAAGGATGCATGCTGAATGTGACGTACAAAAAACCACTGACCAATCATTGCTTGATATTCTTTAAAGTAGCGCTCCAAGTGGCCTGGCAGTGTGTTGCCAATTTCTCTATGGACCGGTTTCACCAACCAGAGTAAGAGTTTACTCTGGAGTAAATCATGTTTACTTGAGAGTAACTTCTTGGAGCGTTTCACCAACAATTTACTCGAGTGTAAATCGCTTACACGAGAGTAAATTCGAGAGTAACTTTACACCGCGAAAATCCGTCGGGTAAAGTACGGAGTAAATACATGCATAAATGCATTCAACTTCAATTCAGTTACCGTTGTGAATCGCAAGTTCTTTTTAAAGTTTTGATGCCTTTAAGTTGCTTAGAGATTTGCGTAAATATGAAAATGTGCATTATTTTTAAGAAGAGATGAAAATGAAATAAATGAACTGAAAGTAAACAGAAATATCTTCCGCCCACCTTGAGATAGTAGTTTACTTTTAGGTTTTCTTGATGCCGACCTTCACCCGAAATAGTTCCGGGTTTAATTTCCCTTTGCGACGGTTTTAAATTACGGATGTTTAAAAAAACTGTAAAAGTCTATATTCATGTATATTTACTCTCCGGTGAGAACGTTGTGAATCCACGAATTTGCAGGGACTTGACACCGGGGGTGGTGGACGTCTTTTACCTACGGAACATAACCAGTTGGTTCGCTCGGTGATTTGTGCTATTAGCTGTTAACTGCGTACCTGTTGTTGCGCCAGTCTGCTTGTGACTCGTGCCATTTGTAAATTCCAGTTAGAAATCTTCACTGAAGTGATGAAAGGAACTGAAAATTAAAGTTTGGAATTGAAGCAGTCCATTAGGATTCCCAGGTGACACCAAATATCCCATTTAAAAAGTAGGAAGGTTTGTAAAAGGTGAGTTAAGGTCAGTTCTTGTTTTACCTCGCGGACTACTTCCTAGGAAACTCGGGAGTTTTCATTGTAGTGAAAATACACCACTGCGTAAAATATTATTTTTAGTTTTCTATTTATTGGAATAACAAGGTACATAGATCAGAAGTATATGTGATATACTATATAATATGAAGATTATCTGAATAAAAGGTTGCTAACTATATACTATTTTAAGTAAATATATTGCAAATTTTAGCATTGCACTTGCCGCCGACCCTGCCATTGTCCCCGCCCGCTTCTAGCCGTGGTTCCGCCTGCACCTCCGCCGCGACCCTTGCAGCACAATCACTTCGGCCCCTGCATTCGTCTCTCACCACGCCTCTGCCCTCGGCTGCGCAGTAACTTCTGGTTATTTCTGGTTCCTTACCTGCCGCTTCCGCCCCCGCCCCGTCCGTCCCAGCACGTTCGTCCTCTCCTTCCCCGCCCTCGCCTCCGCGCTGTAAATCTCTCCTGCATCTCCCCTCCAGTCCTGTCCACGCCTCCGTCTCCGTCCTCACCCCAGCTCTCGCGTCAAATCCGGCCCTCTTTACCGTCCCCACTCTCACCTCCGCTCTCACTTGCGCACTAGTTTCATTCATCAACTTCATGCACATTGTTTTACGGTTTATTTATAGAAAATATGGAGGAAACTTGAAAAAATGTTTAAAAAATCTTTCAACAGTATCTTTTACGAAATTTATTTACTGTGAACTGTATCCTACGAAATTATTAGAGTTCATTTGTTGGGTCTAGGCTCCATTATAGAATTACATGTGGGGTGTAGTGTAATAGTCAATAATTTCTCATTAGTATATTGATTCAAACACCTATTATGAGAACAGTCATTTGAAGCTGCCTTGCTTTGCAAGTTGTGGTAGGAGTAGAGCTGGAAGTATGAATGACTATTTAAGAGTAGGTTAGCAATACAAAAGACAATTTTGTAGTTGATTGGGGAATGTTATTTTTTGGAGAGTAAAGATATTTAGTTTAGAAAAATTTGAAACCATGTTAGTATTAGAAAAATAAATGAAATGACCCTTCATCTTAAAATTATAATTAATACTCACGAGGGAATTTGGCCATGCATGCAGATGGAGGAATTTGTAGAGTATTAGGTAATGAAATTAGAAGAATTTGAGAGGACATGTGTTTATGAAATTTTGTAGTTTCCAATAGAATATATATGCTTACAGATTAATACAGATAGACATGCAAGTTAAGTCAGTATTGTTATTTCTCTTGGGTTCCCAATCCTACATAAAAGGAAATAAAATATTCATATAAAGTAGTTATTTTGCTACTGAGTATCTGTATAGATGGCCTAGGAGACCCAGGCATAAATAAATGTTTATCATGGGGTGATCTTTGGATATTATGTGGGCAACAGGAGGGTGAAATGTGGAATTTGAAATGGTAAATTGAAGACCAATTAAAGAAGTAGGTACCAAGAATAGTCCACAACCAGAATGATATTTTTGATTTTGTAAAATGTATTGGTTTTTATTGGAAGGGAAAAGTTTTTTGAATGTTATAATTGTTATTTTTGATAGTTTTGGTTGAAACTGATTTGTTATAAGATGTTACAATTGTATGAAATATGTACTTTATACGAACATTATTGTAGTTGAAGGTGTGGCATGAGTAGGTAGAGTGAGGCCCTTAGTGTATTAAAGCTCTAAAACAGAACTGTGAATGAGAATTAAGCATACCACAACACATATTGCTAGGGATAATCCCTGTATGGATGTTACGTAATTGTCAGTGCTTCTGTCAATTGTATGAAAGTTCAAAGCCTTTGAATATTGCAAGGATATGTATTTTGCAATGATGGGTTTAAAAATGTTGCACAATTTGAAAATGTTTGAAAGCATTGTGAATATTAGGAGTGAGAAATGGATGTACATGTAGTGATGTAGGTAATAGGATGAGATACAGTGGTAAATGTAAGGTAATAAAATGTGTGCATTTTGTAAATGATAAAACTGTTGCATTCTTGGCAGTGTGCAGATGTAAAATTATGGAACAAATGTGGAGTAAGAGTGGAATGAGTAAATGAAGTGAATTTATTGTTAAGTGAGAAGTGGTAGTTGTGTAAGATGTGGAATTGTTATGACAAGGAGAGTTTCACAAGGTTTGTAATAAAAAGAAAGATGATGTAATTTATAATAAATGAGTTACTTTGTGCTTTTGAGGTCATTGTACAGAAATGTTGAGTAATGGCTGACTATCTTTTCCTAGTATGTTTGTAATGCTGATGTGACACTGTTGTAGTTAAATATTGAAAGTTGTAAGATAGAACGAAAAATTGTAATACAAATGATTTTATAAATTTTATTCTAATTTTCAAATTAATTAATCTTCATGTGGTAAATTATTTTAGAGGTGTAACTTTAAAAGAAAATAATGAATTCTTTAAATGTTGAAGTAAAAAATTATAAATTTTTTTAGCATGTAATTTTTTTTAGAAAGTGTTGGAAGAGAGAAGAAGGTAATGTATTTTTTTAATATTCGCTGGTTTGGTCCTATTTTACCTTTTTTTGGTTTTTCTTCTTTAATTTTTATTTCTTAATTAATCTTCTATTGATTAAACTTTACGGATATGTGTGTAAATGGCCATTGACCCTGCAACTTATTTCCCTTTGGTGTTAAAAATAATCTTCTCTATATGATATTTAGTTTGTAGGATTTAACTTAAGATTGTCTTGTAAGAGTCTGTTCCAGTCTGTCCATGACCGTGGCGGTGTAAGCATCGTCCCTCGGCGCTCCTAGCTAGCCTCCGTTACAGCTTTCACACTCAGCGACTGCTTGACGCTGTAGAAGTCTACAAAGATAAGTATATTTTGC